CTGGGGCCAGGTGGGGCAGCAATCGGGGGGGCTGGGGGGAGCATGTGGGCCTTGCAGGGGGGGTGGTATCCCCTGCAGGGGCCATTTGGCCTCTGTTGGGGGGCTGTACCCTTGTGTGGGGGATGAAACCCCTGTTGGGGGGGCCATACCCCTTGTGATAGTGCCAAACCCCCTGTTGGGGGTCTGAATCCCTTTTGGGAGGCTGAACCTGTTTTGGGGGCTGACCCACCTTTTGGAGGGCTGAACCCTTTGTGTGGGGGACAAATCCCCTGTTGGGGATCTGAACCCCCTGTTGGGGGGTGTATCCCTTGTGTGGGGGCTGAACCACCTGTTGGGGAGGTCTAGCCCTTGTGTGGGGGCTGAACCCTCTGTTGAGGGGCAAGAACACTTGTGTAGGGGCTGAACCCCGTGTTGGGGGGCCATAGTCCTTATGTGGGGGACCAACCCCTTGTGTAGGGGGCCATTGCCCTGTGGGAGGGCAGCAAAATATGTATTCATGAATTCATGAAACCTGTATTTAAAGTTCACTTTATTATTATAAGAGACTTGCTTTAACACTGTAGATACATCAATAAAACATTGTCCAACTGATCGTTGTCTCTGTCTTACACTCTCTCTCTCTTTATAGTGGTCTTTTGTTTTACTTGTGGAGGAACATGGATTTGGGGGTATTTTACAGAGTGACTTTGGGATTGTTTTTATCAGGGATTTTTTAGTTTTCCAATAGGGAACACCAGAATTCCTGCTAGGGAGGCCAGTGGCAGGACCCTGCCTGCTCAGAGCTGGCACCTAAGACCTATCTGGCTATGGCTGACCTCCTGACCAAATGGGGCCAGGAGGACATGCTTTGATAGTTCAAAGCAGGCCACTACACCCAGAACATCTTCCAGGTGATAGCTGCCCAGATGGCCGGGCAGGGGGCACAAATGGCAGTAGTGGCGCACAAAGGCCAACCCTGCAACCACAGTCCACTGGCGGCTGACGCAGAGGGGATGCAGTGGGTAGAGGGTGCAGGGAACTCTCAGGGCTGCTTCAGCAGTCCAGCTGGCACAAGGGTAGTGTCCCCAGGTACCAATTGGCTGGGTCCCAGAAGCTCCTGAGAGCTAGTAGCCCTGAGCTACTTGTCAGGGCACTTTTTATACTGCTGGGGCCAGCACAGGGCAGCTTTTTATACTGCTGGGGACAGCACAGGTGCTGGCCCCGGGCTCTAGCTCCCCTTGGCAGAAGATCTGGGAGGAGCCAGGCAGGGTTATTTTGCCCCTAGTGGCACAATATGCTCTACAACAAAGTGCATGTCTGAGCACGTGCTCTGAGGCAAAAAGGCCCAGTTCAAATTTGCACCGCTTCTATTTGAGCTGCTGCAAGTGCACGTGCTTGCATGTGTGGATGCGCCCCATGTGTGCTCATATTAGGGCACAGTAAACTAATTAGCTCTGCTTTAGGATAGTACTATCTGGGACAAGTATTATCTTACATATCCTATGTTGCAGTCATTTAGTGTACCAAATTGCACATGTAGATTGTAATTGGGACTGGTTGGTGCATGAGGGTGCTGCCTGATAGCTAGCCCTGCAGTGTAGCAACCTCATGTCCTGATAGCCATTCTGCTTCCTGTCACCATTACCTAGAGTCTGAGGTTGCCCCCTTGGCCCCCAGCCAGCCCAGGGTTGCTCTGTCCTGGTTCAAACAGCTGCAGTCCCAGGCATACATGAAGATGCTATGCCCAGGAGCAGCTGAACCCAGTGTAAACTGTGCTGGAATTTATTGCTACATGCTAATTACATATATAGGTGCACTCAGTCTGCATTAAAATAACTGCCTGGCTGTTTGTGTTCCAGGCGATGGGTTCTTCATTACCTATGGCCATCGGGAATATGATGCAATTTTCAGAGTTAACAGACTCATGAATTTGCTTCTTTTCATTTCACCATTTTCACTTTACCTGCTGCTTGTCATGTTCCTTCCTCTAGCTTTTCTTGCTATATTATTTCTATTTGGGATGTCACTGTTAACACTACCATTGTAATTCTTCTGGACTGTGCCATATGAGAGGTGGTTTAGAAGCTTACCATGCAGGCAAGCTGTATCAAGACTTTGGATAGTGTAAGTTGGCCACTTTGTAGAACTGTGGCACAGTACCTTTAGGCCTTGTTACACCTTACACCAGGAATGGGCAAAATATGGCCCACAGGCCAGATCTGGCCCACCAGGACATTCTTTCTGGTCTGTATGGCCCTGAAAAAAATAGAAAATTAATTATTTTCTTCCTGTGGCTTCCTGTCAAAGATAATAAGGTGCCAGGGGCAGCAGGACCCAGGAGAGCCAATTGCAGGCAGCAACAGCAAGGCCCACCTGGCCCTGCCCTACCTCCAGTCCACAACCGGAAGCTTCTGCCTAGCAGAGGCTTCTGGCCTGGTGACTCTGGAGCTGTTCCCTGCCTCTCTCCACCCAAACAGGAGCAGGGTGGAGAAGGAAGGGAAGTGGCAAAGGAAAGGCAAAGGCAGCAGGCGGGGGTGAGGAAGGAAGGAAGTGGCAGTGGGCAGGAGTGCAGGGTCTTGAGACCAGGGCCAGCTGGGAACTACAGGGGCTGGGTTGGCTCCTGCTGTGTTCTCCAGTCTCAGCACTGAAGCCAGGAACTGCATGCTGCCCACCAGGATGGCCAGCTCTGTGCCCTCTCCCACATGCCACATCCACACACATTGACACACACATGTACATACAGCTCCACATACACACATCCACAGCAACCAAAAAAACCCTGTAGCCACCCACCCATGCCCCCACACCTCCCCACAACATACAAGAGTAAGACTTCATTTTGAGCTATTATGCAGTCACCTCTATATACACAACAAAACACACACAAATCAGAACAAAAGAAAAATTGGAAATAAAATATATATTTTAGTACACAATTTAGTTTGGGGTTTTTTCTGAGTTGGAAGATGTTACTTTTAAACTACCAATTGCCAAATCAAAGAGCGAGACTTTATAAAGGGGGATAAGGCAAGGTACCGTTTTTATCGATTACATGAGTTAGACAGAAGTTTGGACACACCATTCATACAAACACACACAAATCATCATACACATTATTACACACAGGCATACACATACACAAAACGACCTTTCCATCTGCACGTGCGCCAGATATAGTTATCAGCAGTAGTTGCTCAATATCAGCCCAGGGTGGCCAACCCTGGCCTTATTGAGTAGATGATGATGTTTTGAAGATTGCAGCTTGGAGCATGGTGAATAGATGCATCTGCACTCCAGTGAAACAGCAGTAGAGAAAAGACTCACCCAACTTGGCATTTTCAAAGTCTTCTTTTATAAAAATTGGCATCGTTCATTTCAGTGCTTTGGGGTTTTTCCATACCCAGCTTCTGTTTTTGCAGTTGTTCTTCTTTTGTCTTCAGCTTATCTCAGCCTTAAAGTGTTCTTGCTGCCCATCTGGCAGAATGAGTGCATTCCTTCTCTTCATTATCTTTTTTATGCCCTAGGCCTAAAAGAAATTCTTCAGCCATTCATTAATTAGTTCACTAACTGGTAACTTACATTTGGCGCCTTGTTGCTTACATAAATGGTTAAATCTTCTTCTCCCATCTCTATGCCATTCTCTCACCATGCACCCTTTTACACACACTAATACATAAAGGCTATGCAAAGTTCATTCACTTATGTCAAGCAAAAAAATACAAAATAAAGTTTTCAAGTTGCTTACAGAACAAAACTAACATGGTTACATTTAACTATTATTACATGCTAAGTTAACATCAGCTACATTAGTTCAGTTCCTGCTACAAAGATGGTAACCTCCCCCTTCCCTCACCCCAGGTTATTTCCAGGGCAAGGAGAGGGATGTCCAGTGGCAAAGGTCAGGGGTTAGGGGCAGGATTTCCAATCTCAAGTTGGTGACAAGGGGGCGGGGCTCCGGTTCAGGGGCTGGGCTACCCTTGTGGCCCTCGACAGCTCACCAAAACTTGTTGAGCAGCCCTCCAGCCAAAATAATTACCTGCCTCTGCCTTACACTGAGCCACACAAATGCTACTTGGAGCCATCACACGCTTAGTTTAGAAACCTTCCCTGACTGTCCCCCACCTACACAACCAACTTGCCACTAGAGGCCTGGTGAGCATAGACAGGACTAGAAGCTGTAGCTGTGAATTGCCACTAGAGGGCTAGTGGGTCAAGATAGGCTTCTATCCCTCCTTTATGGTCAGGGTTATGAGAGATCCTGGGATAGTGGAGCACTTCAACTTGTGTAGCAAATCTGTGGCCTCACGTTAAATGGAACAGGAGATCAGTAGTGCAGATTCTAAATAATCCTGTCCTGGAGTGGCATAATTTTGAGCTGCATAATGAGTGCTTAGACCAACTTTAAAGTGTTAACGTGCAGATAATCCAAGTGTTAAGAGCTGCATGAGCCACCCAAAAAGTGTTAAGAGCTGCGTGAGCTACCCAAATTACTGTGTAACAATGCCCTATAATGCCAGCTGGGAATCTGGCCCATTGCATTGTTTTTATTGTGGACATGACATCAGTGAAGAAAGGTATACTGCATGAAATGCAGACCAAAAAGATGTGTTTGAGCTGATAATGACTATTGCTGCCAGATGATTATATGATAATTCTGATTGAATAAAACTTAAAAATAAGAATAAGAACTCTTTATGAAGCTGTTAGCAGGACCAAACTCTACTTCTATCTTTTCTCTGTAAATTTTTTGTCTTTCCTTTCTGTCACGTCAGCACTAATGAAAAATAGCAGGCTTGAAATCCTTGAGATTAACCATTTCCTTTCTGATTGATGGGGGATCATGTAGAACCATTGACTCTTCTGATAGAATTGTTCTGAAAATACACCAAAAAGTGTTTCTCTTCCCTTTTCATTTTCCCCTCAATATCTGTAGGTTCCTTCATGATGGTGAACAGCTCGGGACGAGCATCTGGGCAGAAAGCTCACTTGCTGTTGCCTACCTTGAAGGAAAACGACACTCACTGTATCGACTTTCATTACTACCTGTCCAGTAGAGACCGTTCGAGTCCTGGCTCTCTGAATGTCTACGTGAAGGTTAACGGTGGACCTCAGGGCAACCCCATCTGGAATGTGTCGGGGATTGTTACAGAAGGCTGGGTGAAAGCAGAGCTTGCTATCAGCACATTCTGGCCACATTTTTATCAGGTATGCAATTGTTGTATTTTCCCCATCCTCCCCCAAATGTTTGCTCTGTTGCCAAGTTTGAGCCTGGGTTATCATTAACCAGTGTTGGCTCTGAAAGAACTACATCTTTTTCACCTGTCCAGTATCAGAGTGCATGTTGTAATTTATCATGAGCTCATAGGCTGCTGACAAACATGAACAACCCCCTCCCCCCGCCAAGCGTTTACTTTCAGCTCAGCACGCCCCCAACCTGAGCGCAGCACATGCCAGAAGAGGAACTGCATCAGTTTGACCCAGCTCCCCCAGCGTCTATGTAGATCACATGCTTCAGCAGGGCTTTTTGGTATTTTTATCTAACCAGCTGTTAGATAACTCCACCCCCACCCCAATGTCTGTCAGCTCCCTTAGTGGTGGAAGGGCTGAGGAGCTTCCAAGAAAAAGGTAGTCCAGCTGTCTGATGAAGAGGCTGGGGGACAAGATTCTTGTGTTTTAGCTGGTCACTTTTGGAACATATTGGATTCAGTGCTTGCCTCCACTTCCCCATCTATGGGTAACACTACCTATCTATATGGTGCTGTGCCATTTTCATTTATGGTTGACAAGGTTTGAAATACTTTTGTGAATAGACCTGTAGAAGTGCAACAAAGTTAATTTTAGAAATTGGTTTGTTTGTGTTGATTTTTTTACACAGGGAAGATTTAGACCTGTTAGTGTATTCCTTTTCTCAACATATTACATGCTAGAGGGCTTTCAACTCCACAGCAAGGAACATTTAGAGCCAAACTGCCAGAAGGTTAAGGCATGTTTCTCTACCCTGAAAATATGCATATTAAAACATTTATCCTGGCATATACCATGGCTTCGGGTAAATAGGATGGCATGTGGCTGGCTAGGTATTTAATCAATTACCTGCATAAACTTGTCCATTATATACCCCAGCTTGATTACATGAACAAGGGTGCTTGATATGTGTTTGCATTTGGCCTCCTACAATTTTTGAAAGCTTGATTATAGTTATTATGTCTCCTTTTGTTTCCTCTCTTTGTTTTATCATTGGTGATAGCACAGTTTTGCTTGTGCTACTTAGGAGATATTCCTGAATCATCCCTTTCCTTAGTTTTAGAACAGTCCTCTCCTTTGCATCAACCTTTGTCTTTGCCTGCAAGTTAAGGTCAGAGCTGCATAGTATGGAAGCAGTACCAACTTCCATCAAGTCAATAATCCTGGTAGTTCAAGAGCCTAGGTATCTTCTGTGTTTGGAGGGTACTAAGGGTGTTTGAAATGGGCCCTATTCAAATCAGATTCAGCCCAAATCAGGTACAGTGATTCGATTCATTGATTCATATCACTGTCCCCAGTTACATTCAGCTGAATCCGAATCTGAAGATTTGATGCTGATTTGGAGAATCAGCGGGGCCTCCCGCATGCTCGGTGGCAAACCCAGAAGTGGACTGGAACTACTTCCGGTCCACTTCTGGGTCCACCAGGAAGTGTGAAGGGGGGTCCCCATGCTTCCCCCCCAGCTTGGCAATCGACCGCGAGGAGACCCTGGGTGCCCACTCAGATCCAGGAGGCACCAGTCACTAAGCCAGGAGGGTACAGGGGTGTGGGGGCCCAGCACACTCTCTGGTGGACTTGGAAGTGGACCAGAAGTGCTTCTGGTCCACTTCTGGGTCTGCTTCTGAGCACGCTGGGCACTCCCTCCCCCACACTCCTATGGGATGCTCCATCCACCCCAGCATCGCAGCATTCACGAGCTGCCTAGTACCTTGAACTATATAGAAAAGACATTTAAAGCTGTGTCTATGTCCGAATCACTGAATCTTTCCAAATCTCTCCAAATCAATTCAAAGGGTTCTGATTTGATTTGCAGAGATTAAAGGGTCTCCTGGTTCGGATTTGGAGATTTGAGGATTCAGCCATGAAATCAGGCAGAATCTCCACCAAATCGAATCAGTGACTGAAGCTTCATACAGCCCTAGAGGGCACCCTGAATGAAAGTTATACTGTTTAAATTACAGTGGGCACATCTACACATGCAATTAATGTACCTGCATTTTCTCAGCAGAAAATTCAGGTGCATTAAACTGTGCCCTCACATGCATCTGAACATGCACCTGTTGGGAGCAAATTTATTCCCATTGAGAACAGTTCCATCTAGATGCATAGATTCATAGATTGTAGGGCTGGAAGAGACCTTGGAAGATCATCGGGTCCAGCCCCCTGCACCAGGCAGGAAAGGCAACTGGGGTCAGGTAACCCCAGCAAGGTGACCATCCAGTTTCCTCTTGAATATTTCCAGGGTAGGCGATTGCACCACCTCTGGAGGGAGCATATTCCACAGTTTGGACACCCTAGCTGTGAAGATGTTTTTCCTAATGTTGAGCCTGAAATGGTCTTCAAGGAGTTTGTGACCATTACTCCTGGTTTTCCCCAAGGATGCCCTGGTGAACAGTTGTTCACCAAGCCCTTGATATACATCCCTGATGTAGCAGTAAGCTACTACCAAGTCCCCTCTCATCCTTCTCTTTTCCAGGCTGAAGAGTCCCAGGTTCCCATCTGCCCATCTTGTCAGCCTGTCTAGGTCCACCTGTCTCTGCAGCCTATCTTCAAGCGTGACCACGCTTTCTCATAACTTGGTGTCATCTGTGAACTTGGCCAGTGAGCTCTTCACCCCCACCTCCAAATCATTGATGAAGATGTTGAATAGTACTGGACCAAACACTGACTCCTGCAGGACACCACTGGTCACTTCTTGCCAAAATGACATAGATCCATTCATTAGAACTCTCTGGGTCCTATCCCATAGCCAGCTTCCTACCCACCTAACTGTCTCACAATTAAGCCCATAATCCTCCAATTTTCTCATGAGGACATGATCAAAAGCTTTTTGGAAGTCAAGGTATACAATGTCAACCTCCTCTCTCTTATCCAGGTGATAAGTTACCTGATCATAAAGGGAGATGAGATTGGTAAGACAAGACCTGCCTGCGATGAAGCCAAACTAGCTGTTCTTGAGAATCCTACCTTCCGCAAGCCTATTGCACATTGACTCCTTAATGAATTTTTCCAGCATTTTCCCTGGGATAGAAGTTAGGCTAATTGGCCTATAGTTAACTGGGTCCTCCCTCGTCCCATTCTTAAAGATGGGCACAACATTGGCCTTCTTCCAGTCCTCAGTGACCTCTCCAGAGTGCCATGAGTTTTTGGAAGAGTTTTGCCAGGGTTTTCACGATGACTTTGGCCAGCTCCTTCAGCACTCTCGGATGAAGTTCATCTGGTCCTGCTGACTTATATATGTCTATTTTTTTAATTGATCACACACCAGTTCTATGGCAATAGTAGGAAGGCGGTCATTTGTACCCTGCTCATTCTGTACCCTGCTCATTCTGTACCCTGTCTGGTATGATTTTCACCTTGGCCCGGTGAAATACTGATGCAAAGTAGTCATTCAGGAGATCAGTTTTTTTCCTGAGTGTTGGTAACCAGCTGCCCTGAGTTGTTGAGCAATGGCCCTACACTCCCATTTGTTTTCCTCCTATTCCCTACATACCTAAAGAAGGACTTCTTGTTCTCCTTGATTCTGTTGCTAATTTTAGTTCAGTCGCTGCCTTGGCTTTTCTAATCTGATCTCTACAAGTGCGGGCCATTGCTGTATAGGGCTGCTCCTTCCCTGGTTTGCACCCCTGCAGGGGGATCTCTAGGCTCCCTTGGGTGTCAGCCCTAGGCTGGCAGGGGGTAAGGAGGCTGGTCCCAGTCTCTGTGGGGCAGGAGACAGCTGTCCTAGCTCCTGGTCAGGTGCCTGCCAGCCGTATGGCGATCAGGACAGCAAAAAGGTAGGTCTAATCAGGACGGGTCCTGATTTCCAAATGGCTGGCAGATAGCATCCCACCAAGCCGAGACAACTCTCCCTGTTCCCTGGGCTCCTACTGACTGGGAGTAATTTGCATGGCACAAATTGCTAATTTGCTTCTGGCCAGTATCTACATGTGCACTTCAGTGCTTTAGTTTAATGTGCCAATTTCTATTACCTGTATCTACAGGTACTAGAAAACAGCTCGTTAAAATAATGTGCTGCACGGTAATTGCTGTGCACATGTAGACAGTGACACTTTACTATGTATTATATTAGTCTATTATGCAGTAAAGCGTCTCATATAAATGCACCCAATTAGTGCCAAGGTCGGTAGTTTCTATGATGTAGGCAATGACCACAAACTAAGGCAGAATTGATTTGCACCTTATAGAGTAACCAAAGTAGATTTATTAGCACAAGCTTTTCTGGGCTGGAGCTTACTTCGTCAGGTGTTTTAATGAGCTTCAGCCCATGGAAGTTTGTACAGATCTACCCTGTCTCCTACTTCACTTCAGACTAACACAGCTAACTATGGGCATATGTACATGTGCTCTGGTGTGGTGGGCTGGGGCATTTTAATTAGAGTGGATACTGGAAGCTGCTCTAATTAAAATGGCCACAGCATCTCGTGTATTCAGCATCCCATGTTTCAAAATGGTGGTGGGGGTGTTTTAACTAAAGCTCGTTTGATGAATGTTAGTTAAAATACCCGTTACCATTTTGAAATGTGGGGATGCTGAATACATGAGATGCTGCGGCACGCTGTAGCGTTCTGATTAGAATGTGCCAACAGACTTGATTAATTGAGTCTGTTCTGCCGCATTCTAATCAGAACAAGTCGGAGCACTTGTATAGGTGCCCAGTGTCTCTAACAAGACCAAGGCCAGCAAACCCATTTCATCCTAGCCTAATCTTGATTAGGCTATTTGGAAATAAGACCAAGCCCTGCCCCTCAGGTTCTGATTGCTGACTGCTAGGCAGGGATGTTGATGCAGAGAATACTCAAGTACTTAACCGTAGATTATGAAGAACTTTATATTATAGTATTAAATGTAAACTGTATCCTTTCATCTTCCAGCATTCAATGAAAATTGCAGGTGCTGTAGGCATAAAAGTGGACAATTGTACCATAGGGAGAAAGTGAATGGTTTCATTTTTCAGCTGT